CCCTCTCTGTCACTCAATCAGGGACACTCACACCCACAGCTGTGACATGAACGTGGGAATTTCTACGGGGCAAAAAGAAAAAAAAGAGGTAAATTTTAATGAATAATATTATTATGATCATGCGTGCGTGAGTAAGGAAAGGTATTGGGGCTTGAGGGCTGATCGTTGTTACACTTGTTGCCTTCTTGGTGGGTTAAAAAAACAACACCAAACGCTTAATTTTATTTGATGGTGTGAAGGTTGGAGGGGTTGAGGAGAAGGGAGTTTTTTGGGGGGAGGGGAGTGAGTGGGAGGAGGAGGGGTATTTTTACTGAGTAAGAAAATCTTTACAATTTGTACATTGTATGTGTGTGTGGTTTTTTTTTGGGGGGGGGTGGGGTTCGAATTATATTAAAGAGGGGGAGGGGGAGAAGGAGCGAGAAAGAGAGAAAGGGGGAGAGAGAAGGAGCGGAATGGGGAGAAAGGGTGGGGGAGAAGGAGCGGAATGGGGAGAAAGGTTGAGAGGGGAGGGGGAACGGCACGGGGTCGAGTTACATGGGGATGGGGGAATGGAAGGGGGGGGGGCTGAGGGTTGTCGGGAAAGCTGTGGGACACACATGACACATGATAACAAATCGTCCGGTTTTCCCACGGGCTGTCATGGGAGAAACCTATGAATGAGCAGACGAGGCGAGAGCGAAGAACAAAGCAGGTTATTGTAACACACGCACAACGTGTTGTGAGTTTGTTTAGACTACCAGAATACGTACAAGTGTTGATGTACGTTTAACACTGATCGAATTATCGTGATACGTGACTCATTTCTGAGACTTATCCCTCTGTTTTGCTAAGACAAAAAGGTAGTGAGCCCATAAATCCCCGCCTTTTTGGTTTTTGAGATTTTGAGAGGACTCTTCAAATATAGAAGTGTTACAGACTTTTTAAATGTGGGTGTACTGCGTCCCCGATCGACTCAAGTGATATTACTAAGGAGGAGGGCTGCGAAAGACACAATGTCCCAGCAGAAAGGCCGAGGTACTTGAAAAAAAAATTATCGTCGCATGTGAATCGCACTCGGATATTCTGCGTGCGACGGCGAAGTGCTTAAAACTGCTATGCACAGCCTCCGGGAGAGGGGTAGGATAAAATGGATCATAATGATTACAATTTTGAATTGTTGTTCTACAGGAAATTCTGTGGCAGAGTACTTACTTTACTTTCATTTTTATCCGCCGCTTGTACCCTTTTGGGTGTCGCGGGAAGAAAGAGACGTCTCTTTGTCGCCAGCCGGAGAGCTTGGGCCAGGGGGATGCCGTGGGTGGTTAATGTATAGTTGTTCAACAGGAAGCTCTGTGGCAGTGTGACTTACATAAAAGGAATTTCGGCACTGCCCTTTTCCTGAGATAGAAAGAGCTCTTTACAGCGCAACTGGTTTTTAAAAAGAAATTAGATTTTTACGCCTTTCCACGACTCATCCTGAAATTAAAAATTCGTTGGGTACCCATTAGATCTATGTATTTAAGATTTGCTGACCGCTTTCCCTTCTTTCCTGTATAAAGCAGTGCTTTTCTAACTTTTTATAGCCAGCGCCCACTGGGTGACTTGTTACAACTTTAAGAGGCATACATTTTCGTGACGCCCTCCTACATGTATTCCCAAGAGGGACATACAATAATAGCTGTCAGTACCAGGGTGATCTCCACCGCCCTCCAAAATTACCAAAAATCACCCACAAGTGAGCAATACCGACCATGTTGGCATATACTGCTGTAGGATGTAGAGCGACGTTTTGCGTTGAAACTTGACTGGGAGCTCTCGTGGCCTAGAGGTTGAGGTGTTCGCCTCTTAATCAAAAGTCTCGGGTTCGAATCCGAGTAGTAACGGAACAAAATTCTTCTTTAAAATTGTCTCCTTTCATCTCTTTTCCTGCTTTCTACAATGTTCTATCGTCTGCTTTCGTCTCCACTTTCTGCTCCCAGCTCCCTCCCCTCCTTTGCCCCCTCCTTTGGGTTCTTGATTCTTTCTGCAGCCTTTCTACTGCTACTCCTTAGCTCCTTCTTATTGCTGTCTCTCAGCTACACCCCTGGTTTTGTGGTAGGAAATATCTACACCTAGCCTTCTCGGACAAGGGCGAAAAATCTTGGAGGTCCCATGTGCAAGTTGCGCACGCTAAAGATCCCTTGGTGGTTTAAAATTGATAAGAGTAGGCTTCGGCCGCCACCCACGCAAAATTAAAAATTTCCTACCCACTGAAAATGTTTAAAGTGTCCCGTGCGCTCATATGACCTTATGCAGTTGCGAGCGCCGTTTAACACTTAAATAAGCAAAAAACAAAACAAAACAACAACAAAAACAAAAACAACAAAAACACTTAATACAAACAAATAGGATATAACCCTCTTTGGATACAAGGCAGAATCAAGGCCGACAACTCCCACAGAACCAGTACAGGAAATTCTGAACCAGCATGGCCACAGATGTGTGCACGATCCTTTCACTTTCAATAGTAGTTCGATTGAAAGGAAAAGTTCTGCCCTCCAACCAATATTGTTAACTCATCTCTTACTAAAGAAAATTTGCCTTGTAAATGCCTTCCCCAGCTCAAGCAAATTTTGGGTTTTCCAAGCCAGGGTAACACGCATTCGAAACATCAGAAAAATACATGTAGTTTGTTTATGATTACATTTCAGTTCTGTAACAGATTATTTTAAAAATGCATTTAATTTAAGATCATACAGGAGGCGGGCTGCTTCGATAACAAGTGTAAACCGGCGCTGTGTAGGATACATCGAAATAGAAAGACCGAAAAACTTGTTAAAAATCCTATATTTGCCGTTGCTAATCTTTTGGTCACCCTACCACACCCCAAACTATAAAAAGTCGCGGGTTCGTATCCTGGGCCGGCTCCGACGGTAAGTGCTTGGGTTAGACAATCTAAACGTATTTTTCTCGTTTAACCATTGTGGAAATGTTTTCTTTCAGTTTTGAACTACTATAATCACTTCAATAGCTACATGAATTATATTGTAATTTCTTTTGCGCTAAGTTTGTGTGTTTTTGTCTAAGAATATGTAAAACACTTTTGATTTTCAAGAACAATTTTCATGTAGTGTGACCATGAAGCAGCGTTGTGAGCCTGTTGCACACATGTCACGATTTTCACTACTGCAACAAATATTTGAAACTTTATATCTCAGGTGTTTGTTAATTGATTTCGATAATTCTTTTTCATAGTTCTTGTTTCACTGAGCACTATATGGAAAGTATAGTCTTGTTATGGTATTCTTCAAAAACATTTCACTAGTGGTACCTACATGGACATGACACAGACAGTAAAAGCTCTCATTGCTATATAATATCATCAAAATGGACTTTCACTGAATGCTTTCAATGAATCTGATAACAATTTAAAATGTTAGAGTACATAATGTGTTGGTAGGATCGGGTGTTCCAATTTCGTTAGTGTTTTAGTTCCGTTCTATAACACCCCCTGAGATGCTTTCCTAAGTATTATTCGAATGAACAAAACATTCTGCCTAGTAACACTGCTAATAATACATTGACACGTAAAAAATGCTGACCAATCAAACAATTCAGCCAAGAAGACCAAAACTCTTCTTATTCAAATAATTTAGCAAAGGAGACCTAAGCTCTTGTTATTCAAGACATCTCATCAACCGCTAAACCGCCGAACAATTAAAGAGCTTTATTACGAGGAAGCTCCTCATAATCGCTCTGCAATGAGACGCTGATTAAAAAAAACAACAACCCAAAAAACAAAACCCACACTCACATGAACAAAACAAAAATGTACTTGTAGACCTAGTGTCTATATGTAAAGTGCACAGTACCAGTGTTGGGATTCAGCGCTTTGTAAACATAAATTATCATTGGCCAGTCACTATTCGCCTTTCCTTACTGTTATTGTTATTGCTTTTGTTATTGTTATTGTTATTAATACTATTATCATCATTATTATTATTATGTTATTATTATTATTATTATTATTATTATTATTATTATTATTATTATTATTATTATTATTTTTGTTGTTGGTATTATTTTATTTTTTTTGGGGGGTGGGAGTGTTAGTAAGAGTTTTACGGCACTTGCAACACAATAAGGGCATATACGTGCCGAAGATTAGAGGCGTTACAAGAGAGTAACAAACACAAAAAAAGAAGGAGGGGAGATAAGGACGATAGATGTTTGATAGGAAAGAAGAAGCAAACAACACCAGAGCACCCGCCAACCTCCCACTGGTATGGGGTTTGGGGTAGAGCTGGGCGAAGAATCAATTCCGGAACCGATTCCCACGACTAATGCAACGGAAGAGAAATGTTTCCGTTCACGAAACCCACCATTTACCAGTTACTTCAATCATTAAAATCTTTTTTAAAAAAGAATTCATCTTTGAAAAATAAAAATTGATGCTTCGGAGTGTTCCGAAATCAAGCTTATCCTAAATCCTGAAGATGTTCGAAGCCAACCAGGTAACCACCGGAAGAAATCACATCATTAGAACGTAAGTAATTGGGATCGGAGTCGATTCTTACGATTCCTAGCTTTCAATAATCGGGAACATAACTGCCCAGCATTGGGGTGTGTATAAATGGAGGATGGGAAAAGGGGAGGAAAAAGCATTTAATTTTAATTAAGTAAACAAAGGTTGACGCCGACTCCCTGGGGCTGGGATGCACTTGTACTTCCTGTCACTCACGCACGCACGCACGCACGCATGCGAGCAAG